TTCATGGACACAGGAATTGCAACAAAGTCCTGAGAAGGGGTAAAAAGAGGCAGGAAATGCTCAGAAGGAGCCAATTGAGTAACAGTGAAAGTGGGACCTCAGAGGTCTCTGGAACATTTGCCAGGGAGACTTCCACACACAGACCGTGCAGGTGTTGGCCTGAAGAACAGCCTGTATATCTGTCCCCACAGATATACAGCGCATTGTCCTAGTTCAATGACCCCAGGAGTGGCAATGACAAGATGTGTGACATTCAGCAACGTTAATCACTTAGAGCCAGACTCCTTCGCCAAAATTACACATTTATATTGTAGTCACCTTTTCAAGACTAATTTTTTCACAATGCTTTATTCTTTCAACCCAAGATGTCCCAGTGTTAAGCCTCATGTCCAATACCCAGAGACTCTCTTGTGTTTTACCTGCCAGGCTTTTCAACTATAAATTAATGGACTCTGGTTTTCATGTATTTTAGCTCATATTTAGTTGAAAATCATGAAATTGTAAGAGATTGAGCTTTTGAAAATGTCCAAATACCTTTAGTAGTTTAATTATCGCATAATATTATAAATGTTTCTAATGTAAAAACTGTCCTCAAAGCCTGAAATTGAATTGATTTTTTAACCAAATATTATGCCCCAAATGACAATACTCTGGAAGACTGTCCATCTGGGCTCTCTGCACGCACTCGGGGTTTAGCAATGCCAAGTCATAGATGCACTTTTTCTGCTCCAGGAAAACAGCACATCTTAGACAATCTTCCCCTTTTCAACTTTTGACAGAGCTTTTACACCTACAGCTTCAGGCCATCCGCACAGCAGTCCTGCAAGGTGGTCAGGCTGAGCGTTAGACTCTCCATCATAGAGATGATCAGCACTTGAGAAACAGCTTCCTCCGAGCTTGGTCCACAGGCCTGTCACAGCTCCACTCTCCCTGCATGCTCCCCGTGCCTGCCTAGTCCTCTCCCACTTAAGGCTGTGATTGTTTAAAACTCATCATTTGCCACTGACCCACTAACCTGCACACAAGCGTCACAGTGCAGCCGCCGTTACAGCTTCCAACAAGATGTTTGCGGTCATTGCTGTCAACGCTCGGTCTGCCGCCACCCAAACACAGAGGTTTCCTCTACCAATTAGCTCTCATCGTCTCTGAGACTAAAGGTTTATTGTGTCTGCATCTGTGTGTCAGGGGACGCCCCTCAACTGGGCTGGGAAAGCGGAAGAGGATGCAATCCCCTAGGATGGACCCCCAACCCGTTTTGTGCACTCGGTTTCTGACGGGATGCAACAGCTCTGCTGCAGATGGAGCTCCGAGGAGTGAGCTGTGTGAGAGCCCCAACCCTGATGCCCTGACAGGTGTCAGCTCTGCTGGGAAACACCACGGACATAACTACACACCTATGTGCACTGGCCAAAGAAAGAGAGACAAGACTCGTTGCCATGACAAACTTGTTCTTCTCTGAGAGCAGATCTAAGATCCTACAGCCCTCGGTATTATAATTCCAAAGACCAGCAGGATTTTCTTAGGTATAAGGTAGCAGACTCTGGTCCCTTTTCATTTCTGGATCTTCTGAAAATAATATCAATGGAAATTCTGATGGAGGTTTGAACACAAGACCACAAGAAGGACTTGCCCCATTGAAATTTTAATGGCTTTAATGATTAGCTGTGGGCAGAAATGGCCAAAGGTAACATCTTCTCCAAGCTAAGTGGGCAACGTGGCATAGAACCACTGTTTTTCCAAGACATGACTTATCTCAGAGCCGTGTGTACAGCTAGTCCAGGGTTAGGAGAGAGCAGACTGTCCCTGGGGAGGAAAGGGAGTGCTTGGTTCTGAGAGAGTTAAGGATGTTGTTTTATTGGTACATATGAGCAGACAGGATCACAGCTTTAAAAACCCTCATCTAGGGAATTTGGAATGTTCTGGGGACTGGAGGGAAAATGGCATAAGTTTGTTTGCAGAGCTCAGACTTCAGAAACTGCTTCCTCTCCAAGACGGGCCAGGAGCTTCCACATACAAAGACTCCAGGGAGTCCACATGGTTTTCTCATGAAGAGAGTTCATTTCTGGGTTTTATGTAAAAATTGAACAAGATACATATCTTCACTTGATCTTGAACTCACAAAACACACCTTCCAAAAATAGGCGGATGGCAGGGTCTCATTCTTCTGTCCCAGCTGGCAGCAGTACTGGCTCTTGTATCCAGTTGAAACAAGAATCTCTGAGAAGTAGTGGAAATAAAATGATCTAATTCTCTCTGACTCCAGCTGTTCACACATCTTTGTTTTTTAAGTGAAATAGTCTCTGAAAGACAAATACTGTATGATCTCATTTAGTAGTGGAAGATAGAAACCTGGACTGAGAGTGAAAGAGGGGACACCAGCAGCTGGGTGTGGCCAGGTGGAGGAATGGGACGCTCTTTGTAACAGCTATGAGAGCGCTAAACAAGTGGGATGGGCTGTAGAGTGAAAATTTGGTTACCACTTAATACACATTTCAGAACAACCAGAAGAGCAGAATTCCAAATATGTACAATATTTAGTAAAGACAAAGGTTGAAGACACTAGATACATTTACTGGATTGTCAGAAAAGTCATGATGTGTTTTTGCATAGAAAAATGCACTATGAGATTTCAGACAACCCAATATTGCCCTCATTTGATCATTTCACCTCATTTTCATGTATTGAAAAACAGACTATACAAAGATGTATAACTATCGCAAACAAATAAATAAAAGAGGACCAGCTGTTGTCATAATGGTTATGACTGGACTCCCATGTAGTTGACTATGGTTCGAGTCCTGAATCTGGCGACTTAAAACTCATGCTGGGTGCATGTGCCCAAAATCCCAAGAGGAGAATTGAGGAGAGGGGATTGCTGTTTGGCCATTCCCCCTTGGGGGGTTATTCCTCACTTTCTGTCTCTTTAGTGAGCACATGCACCCTATAGCAAAAATTTGTCTCTACAAATTTTTTTTTAAATAATCTGGTTCAACTTGTAGGATAAAAATAAAAGAGTAATAAGAGGGAAGATTTAGGAAGTAGACTCAGTAAGGCATGATATCAAGAAACTATGAAATGACAACATTTTATTGATATTATTTATTAAGAGCTAAAAATGACTTGAAAAATAGATTGAAGGACATATCTCCATGTATTTTGCTGTAATTAACAAAATGAAAAATGAGAAAAAGAAATGATAAGACACAAAGGTAAGAATTTTCAAGGTAATATACATCAAATGCATATTATGACAGGATAAAATACAAGAGACAAAGATAGTGCCTAGTCTTTCTCAGGTTCAATGAAAATAACATAAAATATAAATCATGGCTGCTAATATGTACAAACTAAGGATAATTTCATAAATTAAATAGATTGATAAAGGAGTATATCATAAAAACATACCATGATTTGGGTTATTTATTTAATTTACCAAACCCAATTTGCCATACTTGCTCTTTCTGTCTCTCATAATATTGTAAAGTTTATTTATTTGGTCTAGAAAACTGAGTTCATAACTGGATTGGATTAATACATTATTATTAAAGTAACTATCATGCAAAATGTTGCTCTTCCCATTTCATGGTTGTCTTAAAATTCTCTTTTTTTTGAGAGAGATTTTTGCTATAGGACACATGCACTCGACAGAAAGACAGAGAGACAGATAGTGAGAAATGAGCCCTCTCCCCAAAAGGAGACAGCCATGCCTCAATCCCTTCTCCAACTTCTCCTCTAAGGACTTTAGGCATGTACGTACAAACATCCAGCATGAGTTTCAAGCTATTGGGTATTGTACTTGAACTGCAGTTGGCCATGTGGGAGTCCAGGGCTTTAATCACTGCATCATCTGTTGGCCCCTTAATATTTCTTTTAAAAATTATATGCATTTCTTCTTTTCCCTAAACAGCCGAATTTACAAAATCCTACAAGGTTCCCAGAAATTTTACCCAGGTCACGGAGTTTATTCTCACTGGCATCTTAGCCACTCCACATCTGCAGGTTCCACTCTTCCTGGTCTTCCTGGTGATCTAGTGCTGACTGTGGCAGGGAAGCTGGGCATCATCACCCTCACCATCCTTGATTCTCGACTCCAAACCCCCATGTACTTTTTCCTGAGGCACTTGGCTATCATCAGTCTTGACAACTCTACTCTCATTGGCCTTAAAATGCTGATTGCTTTTGTAGTGAAGAATATTATTTTCTGCTATAAATGTGTCACTCAACTGGGAGGTTTCTTATTTTTCATTGTGTCTGCAGTTACCCTTCTCTCTGTGATGGTCTACTATCGCTATGTGGCCATTTATTATCCCCCGATGTACATGATGTTGCTATCTCCATGGTTGTGCCGTCTATTGGAGCCAACACATACCTCTATGGCTTTTTGACAGCAGTTGTGGTTTTGCCTTGAGTATTCTCTATGTCTTATTGCTCTTCCAATATAATCAATGATTTTCTACTGTGATATTGCACCTCTCTTAGCATTGCCCTTCTCTGATATTTATGTACCAGAAACAGTAGTTTTTGTATCTGCAACTACCAATATGTTTTTTTCCTTAGGTACTACTATCTTACTTCAACATTGTTTTGTCCATCTTAAGAATATGTTTATCTGAAGGAAGGAGAAAAGCCTTTTCTACTTGTGCTTCACATCTGATGGCTGTCACAGTTTTCTTTTCTTTTCTTTTTTTTTTTTTGAGAGTTTATTTTTACTATACGGTGCGTGAGCTCACCAGAAAGACAGAGAGGGACAGAGAGATAGAAAGCAAGAAATCACCCCCCAGGGGGGATGGCCATGCTGCAATCCCTTCTCTTCCATTCTTCTCTCATGATTTTGGGCACGCATGAACATGCACCCGGCGTGAGTTTAAGCCACTGGATCTGGGATGCGAACTGTAGTCGACTACATGGGAGTCCAGCAACATTGCCATTACACTAACTGCTGGTCCCTCTGTGGAACACTCCTATTTATAAATTTGAAGCCTTGAAGAAATCACTCGTTAGATACTGACAGCATCAGCTCTTTATTTTATACCATGGTGATCCTGATGCTAAATCCTATGATCTACAGTCTGAGGAATAAGGATGTGAAGGCTGCCTTAAAGAGATTTATAACACATCCACATTATTTCTTTAAACCAATGTAATATTAAAATATTGAATGTATATGAAGACATGGCTAAGACTCCTCTTATTAAGTTTCAGAAAAGTCTTCATCCATTTTGAAGAGAATAACAGAGGAACTAGTAGATGGCATAATGGTTACACCACTAGACTCCCACATAGTCTACCTTGGTTTGAGGCCCAGACCCAGCAGCTTAAAACTCATGCCTGGCATGTGTTCTTTCATGCCCAAAATCCTAAGGGAGAATGAAAGAGATGGGATTAGGGAGTCATTGCCCCGTGGGAGTGATTTTTCATTTTCTGTCTCTCTGTCACTGTCTCTATGGCAAACATAAAGCAACAATCTCTCTTGAAAAAAGAAAAGGCAATCAGAAAAAATATGTCCCGTCCTTTCCAACAACTGAATACATAAGAGAAACCAAAGTTTATGGTCTGTGTGTTTAAAAGTAATCCCAAGAATTAAAAGCAACTAGTTTTTGAAGAGACTTGATGAACCATAAACTGAAGTTTTAGAGTTGTGATGGTAACACCAAAACTATGATATTATTCACCAACTTTAACAGGAATAATATGGTAGCCAGGTTGGAAAAAATATTTACAGGAGTCAGGAGAGTTATATTAAATGACTTATATAAATTTGAACAGAGCAGAGAGATATGGACAAGAGAAGTAAATTCGCTCCCCTGTACTCATTTTTTATTATTATTTCTTCTTATATATGATAAGATATGGTGTTTTGCTATATCCTGAAAACTATAATTGCAGATGGCTTTTTTCCTGATTAAAGGCTAGTTTATAAAATTGAGCTGACAATTACATAAAATATAAAACTCCCCCTGGAGAGGTTCCATGGTCTAATGGTAAAAATGTGGATCCCATATGACCTACTGCAGTTCAAAACCTGGTTCCTGTGGCTTGTGAAACAGCTGTCTGTGTGTCCCCAAAATACTGACAGGGTACCGAAATGGAGAAGGTACCACAAGCCACAACATACTGGGAATCGCTAAATTATATAAATTTAAATAAAAGATTCAGAAGACCATCTTAAATCCTGTTTCTTGCTAGATTTGAATTCTTAACTTAATGAACTGTGTATAAGTTTGTCTTTCTAATTACTAAAGTTTTGTTCTTTATGTACATGTAAAGTAAATGCAGTAACACTGCTAAGAGCTGAGTCTTTGACCATTAGAAGTCTGTCAGTGACAGGACCAGCAGTTATTGTAACGGCTATGTCGCTGGACTCTCATGTAGTCGACCACGGTTTGAGTCCTGGACCCAGTGGCTTAAACTCACTCCAAGCACGTGTGCATGTGTGCACAAGATCCTGAGAAGAGAAGGGATTGCGGAGTGATCATTCCCCCTGGGGGGTGATTTCTCGCTTCCTGTCGCTCTGTCTCTCTCTGTCTTTCTGGCGAGCACATGCCTCATAGAGCAAAAACCTCTCCAAAAACGAAAGAAGAAAAAGTTTGTCAGAGACAGGTGAGAACTTGTGCTCAAACTCATTGAGCCCTCAGGCTTCCACCCACTGCTGCCTGCCTGTGACTAGCTTGAAGAGTACACTCAAAGATGTACTAGTGTTCAAACATGCCCCAGCCTATACTACCACTCGCTATCATGTCTTCAAAATGTGTGTGTATAGATAGGCAGATAACTAGTAATGTATGATTAGATATATCTAATCATTCAATCTGCCGCTACCCAATTGTGACCATGATCTTAGGTTAGGAGAGCTGTTATCAGCACTGAAATGGGCTTTCTACCTTTTAGTTCAAATCTATCACTGCCTGAGTATCTCTTTCACATTGCTGTTGGTTTTTTTAAAAATGTATATTTAATTGTTCTTTAATTTCATCTCTGCATGCAATCATTAGACATCACTTAACTTGTAAAGTGAACTTTCCCAATGTGAATACACTTCACACCAGTCCAGTTGAGGTTACTATACATGTTATCATCAACAGATAATAATCCAGTTCTGTGTCCCATAAATGTCTTGCCTCTCTATTTTTCTCCTTAATGTTTTTCGTCATGATCTTCTCCTTCTCCCACCCTCTTCCCACACTGCATCTCCAAAAACATTTTCCATGTTCCTATTGCTGGTTTTATGACCTGGATTTTTCTGATGAAAATGTTGGCAGTGTTTGTCAACAGGCAAATGTAGGCAAGTTAAAATTAAATGAGAATTAATAGTAAGAAAATACCTTTTTTTAAAAAGCATAACAAAGACCAACTTAAGAACCACAATTCTCCTCTGCTTCTGCATTTTTTCCTTTATTTTGTAATTACCATGAAGTACACAGGCTCATGAGAGAGAAAAACATCCCCTAATGGAGCATGCTCCCGTTGCAATGCTTCCTTCTTCATTTCTCCAGTTTCTCAAGATTTGGGGCAGGTACATACAGGTACCAGGCATATCTTTTATGCCACCAGGCTGGGTCCCAAGCCATGGTCAACCATGTGGGATCCAGTTCTTTTGCCACTAGACTATGAGGCTGGCCCTGCAAATAAGTTTGCCCTATTTATACAATATTTTATTCTATGGATATACCCTATAAATACAATAATTTTCAAGATCCCTATGTGACACTAATGGAAATTTAATGAGGAGGAAGACATTGGAAACAAGCAAACAAAAAAATTAAAAATAAAAAACAAAACAAATAATAAACACCTCTTGGTCTGATACTGTGCCTTTAGAGACTGAAGTTCTGATCTTGGGCCAAACTTTTCCATGAACCTGAATGCTTTGACATGAAGTGTGTGTTATCTGGTATAACAAGACATAAATTTGGGCTTGCAAAAAAAGATGACATCACTGAAAGGAAGTGTTAAATACTGAGAAGGCTTGAGCAAACACATAAGCCTAAGTAATTGACCTAAAGATTAATGTAAAATTAACCCTGCACCTACTCCTGTCACACTGCCTTCTCTCACAGCCCGTTTCTTTGGCCTTAATCAGTTTTTCATAGGAAGAGGAGATTCTGGTCCAGTTTACAGATGTTTTTGCATGATATAGAAGCAAAAATGAAAGAAGATAAAGGAAGGAAGAAAGACTCCCGTCAGAATTAGTTCATTTGATGCAATGATATTGTGTTGACCTATTTAGTCCAGTTGTCACTTTTGAGAAGAAACAGAGGATTGTTATAAGTTTTCATTTAGAATCATCCAAAGAAATTGAAATATTTATAAACAGGATGAAATTATAATTGATAATAGGGAATGAAGTTGAAATTCCCATACATGATTCTAAAGCTAATCAATGGTAGAATCTTCTGTGTCCCAAAAGAAGCTATCTATAAAATTCATGAACAGTAATGTATACATTGAAGGTTTTTGTTTTTGTTTTTTTAGAGAGGTTTTTGCTATAGTGTGCATGCACTCACCAGAAAGACAGAGAGACAGAGAGACAGAAAGTGAGAAATCACCCCCCAGGGGGATGGCCATGCCTCAATCCTTTCTCCTCCATTCTCCTCTTGGGACCTTTGACACGCATGCACATGCACCCGGCGTGAGTTTAAGTCTATGGGTCTGGGATTTAAACCTTTGTCGACTACATGGGAGTCCAACTTCTGGTCCTTAGATTGAAGTTTTGATAGAAGCATCAATATTTGGAACACATCAATTGATAACAAAATCCTATAGGGATTAAAATAGAAATATTATAATGGCATTACTTTTTAAAAATATACCTTTATTCTTGTCTGACATTTGTTGTATAATTTTGATATTCATTTATTTACATTTTATTTAATAATTTCTTACTTATATTTACTTGCTGTACATCTTTGTGGGGCACAGCATAAATTTTCAAAATACGCATGCATTGGGACCAGCAGTTGGCGTAATGACTATGTCACTGGACTCCCAGGTAG